AAATGAAGTGAAAAAAGAGCCAGTCCTTTCTCTTATCTAGGATATTACTTTTCTAAGCTATAAGAAAATACTMRCAGRGYTTATAGATTTCTCGATTTAAACTTWTATATTAAAGAATTCARCTTACTCAGAAGGTAGCTTTGTACTTGCTTTTATAACAGACATAAATCTCTGCAATTTTAGCTCAGTTGATCTAAGCATTTGCAAGTAGGAAGAKACAAATATACTTTGAAGAAGAAATATATTAAAAAATCAGTCTAGTTTCAGTAAATTGTGCCATCCTTATGTCAGGATGCAACTTAAAGAGACTTTTTTGTTCTATGCAAATCACTTTGTTTTCAAAGTCTTAAATCCATCTTTGTTTTACATGGGAATGTTCTCTTTGATATAATTGATTACAAAAATATGTCAATTTTCCTACATTTCTGTCTAGTTGTTAGCTCAGACAGATTGTTTATGTCACAATCAGACTGCAGTTTCTGTGGGGATTCATTCCAGYGTTGGCTGCTCTCATTCCAGAGGTTTCACTCCTAGTCATCAAACCAGAAAGTGGCATCATTGTTTGAATCAATTATTTGTTATTAAATACATGCAAGCTGCTATTCATGGCCTCAAACAGAAATATTGAAATCTAGGTAAATATTATAAATRTATGATTGAATTATATTGAAATGCAGATATATTGCTTCCCTTACATTTCATTGGTGGTATGTGTTCATTAATTTTTAAACTGACAGCTCAGCGGGTCCTGTTGCTCCTCACATTCACAGACAGGCAGGAAAATGTGAAGCAATTTGCTTCAATCCAGGAGCAGTCCAGTCCTGGAATCCTCTGCCCACATGGTCAGACTTCACATTCTCATCATTAAAAGGTGAAAAAACTGACAACAGGTTTCTTCAGTGGAGTCTGGTGCACACTTGGGCACCTTTCTAGGTATTTACAGAGATTTCCAGTGGCATGGGGAGACACTGGAAGATAACCCAAACCTTCCTTTGGAAGCAGTGCCAGGTTAGTGTGGATTCTTTCAAAGCTCTCTGCGTGGTGTTTGTTTCATTTAGCACAGAAATATTTGCATTATTGCTTTCAGAACACCTGGCAGGGTGAGTGTGTCTGTGTGAGCTGTGTTTCAGTGCATTATTTGATGAAATGAGATGCCTGTAAGTGCAATCTCCATGAATTCTGGAGAATCTTTTCTATCACACATTTATTGGCAGCCCAGAGGAGTTTTTGGCTGCATGTGCAGCAGGGGAAGTGCAGCTCCCTGAAACCAAAGGCTTTTCACTCCTTTCACCTCTGAGGCCATCTCACAGCTACCCAGGAAAGGAGATCAGGGAACTTCTGGATGAATGAAGAGAAGACAAACCCTTCTGCAAGCATCCAGTGAGTCTGACCTCATGCAGAAAGGAAATTTGGGATGGCTTGAAGAGCAGAATACCCTGTGATGCTGAGGCCATGCAAGCAGCAAACCTAGGAGAAGCATAAAATATTGCTGTTAATTGCTGTTCATCTYGAGKAAACTGCATGAAGCTGAGTCAGGGGAGGTTTAGGCTGGATATATCCTTTTTCTCTCCCCTTCTCTCTGTTCCTGCCATAGCTCATATAGAGCAATACAAAAAAATAATCTAACATATTTAATAAAAGTGTTACAGGTCAGTCAGAGATAAAATAAAAGCATTGCTGAATGAAAAGGTTACTTTAAACCATCCTGTCCCAGAATTAGRGCCACTGGGGGAAAAATGTTTT